ATGCACATAACCTGCAGCAAAGCAAAGCGTGTTCACGAGGAGCTCCGCACAGCCCGGCAGGGCGGCAGCTGCTCTCACCGGGGGAGGAGGCAGGGAAGAAAATGCGAGAAGCAGGGTGGGTGCCGGCTCCCCTCGAAGCTATGAGGGCAGCCTTGGGGCTGTCTCGGGCATAGGAGGGCGTGCGCGTGCATGTTTACACAGTGACAGTAACTGTGGAAACACACCGTGCATGCATCCTGCCCTGTGGATACGCCCCACACACAGCAACAGGGATGTGCGGATATGGGAGGTCAGGAGATGTGGGACCCTGGGGGTTCCTGATGTCACCTCCAGGGTCCTTTTAAGAGGGAGACAGGTGGCCAGGCGTATGCCTATAATCCCAGCCTTTGCTCCCAAAGGTGAGAGGGTCACCTGAGGCCAAGACCAGCCTGGACAAAACAGCAAGACCTCGTCTCTACAAAAAAAATCAAAATTTAGCAGGGCTTAGTGGCACACACCTGTAGTCTCAGCTACTCGGGAGGCTGAGGCAGAGGGTCACCGGAGCCCGGGAGATGGAGACTGCAGTGAGCTATGGTGGCACCACTGCACTCCAGCCCTGCATTCCAGCGTGGGCGACCGAGCAAGAACCAGTCTCAAAAAAGAAAAAGAGAGGCAGGAGACCGGTGTGAGGAGGGGCTGGGCCAAGAGACAGGCTTCAAGGAAAGCAGAAGGTCTCGGGAGGCTGAGAGGCCACGATGAGCCTCCCCTGGGGCCTCTGATGGAGCCCCTAACTCTCCTGGATTTCCAACTCTGGAGCTGTGAGACATGAGTTTCCATTGGCAGAAGTCACGGGTTGGTGGTTAGCTGTTTAACAGGAAACGGGCAGGTCGGATCGCATCCAGCCTCAAGCCCCAGCTCCACTTCCCATACAGCCTAAGCTCTCACCATGAGGCGATCCAGCTGCCCGGTGGGGGAGGGGCTGCCACCCCCGCTGATTTGTGGGCCCAGGGGTGAAGACACCTCACCTGCCACCCAGAACCAGGCCCCCAGCTCCCGGCGAGGCCTCGAGGCTGCATTGCCACCAGTGACTAGGTATTTTATGCTGAACATTAAAGATATTTTACACTGGAGATTTAACACGGAACATTAAGAACCATTGAAATCACTCATATCAATTGAAGATACAATAATTGAACCCCATAAAGATTACTGAGAAGCTGGTGGAGCTATAAGGAGAGGCATAAATAGAGATAAATTGGCCCCCCTCTGCCCCCCACCCTCCCCCTGGAAGCTCCTTAGAGATGCTCCTGAGGACTGGCAGTGACAGAGACCCACGGCAGGGAGAGGGGACCTGGGGCTTCCCCCGAGGAGGGGCCTGGGCAGACCCAGAAGCTTCCGTGTGTCCCTTGACAGCCTTGGTCAGATCCTGGGTGAAGGCGTGGAGCGAAGGGACCCAGGGGAGGAGAGGTCCATTCTCCAACGGCCCAGCCACCTCCTTCCTCTACATGCTGCACCCCAGCCCTGACCTGGGCCACACACTGAGCCCCGATCACAGCCATCAGCTGGGTCCTAACGCAGGTCACACTCCGAGCCTCATCCTCGACAAAGTCTAAGCCACGATTCTGGCCCCAGATCGAGCCCTGCTGTGGTCACAGGCTGAGCTCTGACCGGGGCCACATACTGAAGTGGAACAGTGGCCGGAGGCTGAGTTCTGAGCCTGGAATCTCATCTCAGGCATGTCCAGGCCCCAGGACTGTGGATCCTCCCTGACGTCACTGCATGCACCCACGACACCCTCTCTCAGCTTCTCACACGCTGGGCCCCAGCTGGGCTCTGCATGTGGATAGAAAGGCCCCCTGTCCTCAGGGCGTTTCACTCCCCTGGGGAGGCTGCACCTGAACAGTGCACCCGATCAGCCAAGTACTATGGATGACGGGGTCCCCAGCCTGGCTCTCCCTGCCCTCCCACGCCCAGGTCCCCAGCTCTGACCAGAAAGCCCTCCAGCCTCTGCCTCCGTCCTCTGCCCTACAGATCAGAGCACTGCTCCCACCGATGAGCGGGGTCCCTGTCCCGGTCTGTGGTCTGTGTGCAGAGGCTGAGGTTGCACAGGCTGAGGGCCGGGGCCTGGCATGCTCGGGCCGGAGTGTGGCAGGTAAGGGCCCCTCCATGGGGCCTCACTCCTGCTTATCCAGGGTCAGAAGAGCTGAACAGGGAAGTGAAAGGCACAAAGTCAGTCTGCCTGGCTTTGCAATCTTGGCCTCCCCTCAGCTGCATGGCCGAGGTTTCTGGTCATCTCTGAGCCTACCTCGCTGCAAGGGAGGATGATGGCATCTGACCCCAGGATGTGAGCGTCACCAGAGAGGACCCAATCAATGACAGGTCCAAGGGCATGGACCCCCCCCATGAAAGAGACCACAGCCATGATCAGGTCCCAGCAGTGCCTCACCACCCAGGACTCCAGACCTGTCATCCTCTGCTGCCCCCAGGGCTGTCTCGAGGGCCCACAGCCTCCCTGCCCTGCTCTGCACCCCCTTTCTGAGCCCTCCCAAAGGCGGACCCTTCTCCATGCTGCTCCCGCCTCCTCCCCCAGATCAGCTGCCTATTCCCCGGGCGCAGGTGTGAGGCCAGCAGCTGTGCCTGTGCAGGGGAAGGGCCGGTACCCCAGCCACCCTCCCAGGCTCATAAATCTGCCCTGTTCCCCTCAAGCCAGTACTCAGCCAGGCCACCTGCACAATGCAATATGTTTCACTTACGAGCTGGTCTATTACCTGATTCATACCGGATCTGTCACCCTGAGAGATCAATGCACCCTCGGGATGCCACATACATAACACCTGGTACGTAATGGAATTCAGGCTCCTGGCATCACCATGCATAGCCTCTGTGGCCGCTGGGAGCCTCGGCCCCTCCCCTGGGGAAGGGGCAGGGAGAAAACAGCCCTCCTGGCTGCAGCATGGGGGTGCAGCTCCAGAAGGATGTCTGCGGTTCCAGGCAGGGTGGGGTGGTTCGGATCCCGGGTGTCCCTGCTGTTCTGTCTCAACTCCATTTGGAGAGACCTCAGAGCCTTTTCACCCGGCCCCCCATGCCTGAGCCGTTGGCCCCCCTCTGCCTGAAGCCCACTGATAGGGCGCTCACCAAGTGGTCCAGCCCACTGCAGCCAGTACAGACCCAAAGAGCCAAAATGCTGCATTTACCAGGTACCAGCCGAAGGTATCAGAACGCCAGCCACTCGGAACCTTTGGGGGAAGGAATTACTGGCTCGCTGTACAAATAAGGAGTCTGAAGTCAGGGAAACGACCTTCCGAAGTTTGAACTGCCAAGCTCAATTTGAAACCAGAGTCAGGACCCAGATCCAGGACTTCCTGTGCTGCTGAGCTGAAGCCAAGGGGCAGCCCCTGGGTGGTCAGCAGGGGTGGGGCCAAGGGCGGGCACTCTGCAAACAAGTGTTTGGGGTCTATCGGGGTCTGCATGAGTGGGGGGCGCTATCTCCCTCCAGCTAGTCTATTTCTGGGGCAGAAACTCAAGTGATTGGGCAGGACCCTGCCTGTGCCCAGCTGCCATGTGGCCTTGGGCAGGTCTCCTGTCCCCTCCAGCCCATGGAGTCACCTGAGCTCCTGGTCCCTGCGGCTGGATGTCCTCTCTGACCTCACCTCTGGCAGCTCCAGAGAGGCCAGGAGGCGCAGGCTGGTGCCCTCAGAACCCAGACCTTTCTGGAAGCCTGGGGGCTGACTCGGGCAGCAGACACAGCCGGGGTCCCCCTCCGCCTCGCACTCTGTCACTGACTCTGCTTTTCATGATTGGGGCAGCCATGATGGAAACAGCATCTCAGCTCCTACAAGGATCTATATCCCAAAACAGCAAAATAACTCCCATCGTGCAAGAATTGTTCAGGCAAAGGCATTCGGGCTGGAGTTATTGGGGCCATGTTTCCACACGCACCTGATGTATGGACAGGTCTACTCCCAGGGCCGCCAAATCAATCCATGTGGAAGCCCGGGAAATTATGTGTCTCCTGTGTGTCAGGGCATGGAGGGAGTGGCAGGGGCCGGGGGCAGGGGCAGAGGCCCAGGTTCTGGGCCCAGAATGGAGGCTGCCAGGCGCTGAGGAGGCCATCACTCCTCTCACTTGTGTGAAGGTCAGAGGACGCAGGACGGACAAAGGCATCTGGTCATTTCTAAAGGGCCATACAGATGCCTCTCACCCTCACCCCAGAGGCCCGGTCAGGGATGTGAAGGCATCGGGGTAGGCAGGAGAGGGACCTCACTGCTTCAGGCTCCGTGAGTGGCTCCCTTGTGCCCACGCAGGCACACATGTGCACACAGAGATACACATGAACACACATAGGCACACACAGACACCACAGTGCACATACAGGTACATATGCAAGGAATATATGCATGCTCACACACATCAGCTACCAGGCTGGGGTGGGGGTGGGGGTGGGGGCGGGGGCAGGGGCAGGGGCAGGATCCGCCCTCTTCCTCTGGGACTTGCCCCATCTTGAGCCAAACAGATGAAACCATTGATAGTGAAGCCTCCCCTGGGAGGACTCTGGCTCACAGCGCAGGGGCTAGGCTGAAAGGGAGGACCCAGGGAAGGGGTGTGGGAGGGCCGGGGACCCCACAGCTCCAGCCGAGGTCCTCTGTGAACCACAGCGGTTCATCATCCTTCCTCCAGCTGATAAGATTATCTGGAGGGCAATTAGTCTCGGAATTACCTCAGAGGAGACCGTTAAGAGAAAAATAAATTAAAAAGAAATCCTTTCGAGCTGTAATTGGAATACAGTGTATCATAGTCCATTGAATCACAAATACAAGCCAGTCCCTTGTCGATTGATTTCAGCGAGTAAACACTTTGGGTATTTAAATTGGAAACTCGCCGGGGAAAGGAGCAATGATTTGGTTAAAGGGAGAACTGAAAACTTCAGGCCAAAAATGGGTTCTGGGCGTCGTCTGGCTGCTGCAGGACTGAGCTTGTGACCCTGGACGAGAGGGAAGTCGCCAGCTCCTCCCTCCCTGCAGGTCAAGGTCACCCCATTTGGAAGATACCTAGACCCCAGCAGCGTTACCTGACCTGTGACACCTTTGTCCCTGTGTCCTTCCTCCTCTGCTTGTCCATGGTGAATGTGGCCTCTCCGTCTCATGGGCGTACTCCCAGCGCACTGGGAGCTTCGGGTACACAGGAGTCCTGCTTTACTTCCTGTGTTGAGCCCAGGTAGGTGGGGTGGGGATGCGTGGAAGGCAGCTGTCAAGAGAACAAATGAATGAATGGTGGGTTTGTGGGGGCAAGATGGGGAATGAAAGAATGCATAGATGGGGGCTGGATGATGAATGGGTGGGTGGATGGGCAGATGGATGGGTGGATGAATGGGAGCTGGATAGGGAATGGATGGGTGGATGGTAGATGAATGCAGGGTGAATCCAATCCAACAGGATTGCATCCACCTGTAAGTGGATGGGTGGATGGGTGAATGGGGGACAGATGAGCAAATGGCTGGGGAATGGATGGATGGGTGGATAGGGGATGGATAGCTGGATGCATAGATGGGGGATCGGTGGGGATGGGTAGTGGATGGTAGATGAGTTGGAGGCATAGGTGGATGGATGGGTGAGTGGATAGATGGATGGGTGGAAGGATGGGGAGTGGACAGATAGATGGGGATGGAGGGATAAATGGATACATGGATAGATGGGGAAGAATGAATGGATAGGTGGATGGATGGGGATTAGAGCAATAGATGGATGGCTGCATGGGTGGGTGGGTGGAGAGATGAATGGGTGGATGGATGAGGAATGGACGAATAGGCAGGGGATGGAGGGACAGATGGAGAAATGGATGGACGGGTAGATGGATGGATGGGGGTTAGAGGGATGGGTGGATGGGTGGAGGAATGGGTAGATGGATGGGTGGATGGATGAGGAATGGATGAATAGGTGGGGGATAGAAGGATAGATGGAGAAATGGATGGATGGGGGTTAGAGGGATAGATGGATGGGTGGATGGGTGGAGGCATGGGTAGATGGATGGGCAGAGGCATGGGTAGATGGATGGGGAATGGATGAATAGGTGGGGATGGAGGGACAGATGGAGAAATGGATGGATGGGTAGATGGATGCATGGGGGTTAGAGGGATAGATGGATGGGTGGATGAGTGGAGGCATGGGTGGATGGATATGTGGATGGATGGGGAATGGATGAATAGGTGGGGGATGGAGGGATAGATGGAGAAATGCATGGATGGGAGGAATGGATGGATGGGGGTTAGAGCAATAGATGGATGGGTGAATGAGTGGAGGCGTGGGTAGATGGATGGGCGGATGGATTGGGAATGGATGGATGGGGAATGGATGAATAGGTGGGGTATAGAAGGACAGATGGACAAATGCATGGATGGGAGGAATGGATGCATGGGGGTTAGAGGGATGGATGGGTGGGTGGGTGGATGGGGAATGGATGGATGGGTGGAGGATGCAGAGATGCTTAAACATATTTAAAAGACTGAGCTATCGACAACAGGGGGTCATTTCTCCAGCTCTGCAAGAACTTTGGGCCTGAGACAGCAGAGCCTTTTTTATCTTCCAACAAAGAAATCATTTCCTAGCCAAAAAAAGCAGAGTCAAGCCTGATGCCTTCAAGAGGCCCTGGTTTCCTCATCACCCTGAAGCAGCTGACCTCCTGCACAATGAAGAGGGTGCCTGAAGACCCCAGTCAGAAACAATGCCCCATACGGAGGGGGTGCTGTCCTGCAGGAGGAGATATGTGCTGAGGAGGGACTTACATCTGGAGCTCTTTCTGCCCAGTCAGAACCTAGCGGGGTGTCTCTCACAGTTACATTCTCCACCAGTTCATATTCTGCTCCTAGGGACTGCCCAAGAAAATGCCCAGTACAGGAATGCTTCCACCAGGGGTCACAGGGATGGCTCTGCTGCCCTGGGGGCTGAGTTGGCCACCTGTCCAGTGCCCCAAGTTAACAAGCAAAGCCACATGTGGGCAGTGGCTGGGAATCAACCCTGATTGTCAAGCACAAGAGGCCTGATGGGCCACATGAAGAGAGTGCCCACAACCCAGAGGAGCTCCTGGATACAGCTGTGCGACCATGATTTCCAGTGGAAGACGCCACAGCCCCATTCAGGAGGAACCTCCAAACCTGGGGGCCTCAGGGTGATGCTGTGACTCACACCAGCAGTAAAAGAACTTCCAAGCAGCTGAGCTGGAGGAAAAAGGGACTTGTGGTAAATCGTATTTTCCAAAAATGGGCACCTTACCACTCTCCCATCAAGAGGTGGTGCTACTGTTTGAATGTGTCCCCCAAAGTTCATGCGTTGAAAACTTAAACAGCAATGCGATTGGGTTGAATGGTGGGCATTTTCAACGCAATTGCAAGGGTGATTGGCTGAGGAAGGCTCTGCCCTCACGAATGCATTGATATCATGGTTGAGGGAGTGGGCTCCTGTTGAGAGAATGGGTACAGCCTCTCCCTCTGCCTCACACGTGCGCTTGTCCTTCTGACAGGAGATTGTGGAGGAAGAAGGTTCTTGAAAGATGCCGGCCCCTAGACCTTGGACTTCTCAGCCTCCAGAACTGTAAGAATTAAATCTCTGTTCCTTATGAGGTACTCAGTCTTGGGTGTTTGGTTATAGTAACATAAACAGAGCAAGACAGGTGGAAGCTCCCCGCCCCTGGAACCTGGAGTGCTTGCGACAGCTCCAACCAAGAGAATGTGATGGAGGTCACGCCATGTGACTTCCGAGAAGTCATACAAAGGAGGCCGTTTCTGCCTGGCTCTCTCTCTCTCTCTCGCTCGAAATGCTCCCCCAGGAGTCAGCTGCCATCTTGTGAGGAAGCCCAGTCCACATGGAGAAGCCACGTGTGGATGCTGGAACCTGAGCCCCAGCTCAGGTCACCGCAGACGGCCAGCATCAATCAGGAAGCCTGTGACTGAGGGAGGCTTCTGGTGATTCCAGCCCTGAGCCTTTGAGCAAAACCATGAGGGCAGGAGGCTGGTGGGGCAAATAAGACCAGGGAGTGTAGGGTTCAAGGGAAGAGGGGACCAATGTTCCCGCCCTGGTCCGGGCCCTGCATTTCCATTTTGCACTGGATCCCTGAGTCCTGTGACTGCTGCTGAGCGGAAGGGACTTCTCCACTGAACTCCCTCGGCATATCCGTGGCTCAGAGTTCATGGGACCCCGCGGTGTCCTGTGGCCCTGAAGCCAGCAGCTGGGAAGCTCCTGGGCAGTGGGTTCCCCAAGGCAGGGTCCCCAGGCCCAACCCTCCCACAGCAGCCTGAGCCTCCAGGCCCCACAAGCTTTTCTCACGTCACCCTCCCAGGCAGGATTTGAGGCACAGCTGCGTGATCTGCACTGTCTCTATCATACCAGAGACAGCCAGCAAGGAGGACAGGAGAGAGAGGGCCACAGACACCTGAGCGCCTGCCCGGCACGTGGTGCCCACTGAACGAAAACCTCTGGTCCACCTACTTGCACCAACGTCATGTTCTTTCCAACACCCGTGGGCTGAACGTTCCCCAGAAGTTCAACAGTTTTGACCTTTGGGTTCCCACAAATTGTGTCCAGCCTGGGAACCAGAAGACCGAGCCTCCTTCCAGCTCTGCTGCGGAGGTGCTGTATGGCCTCGGGGAAGCCCAGTCCCTCTCTGGGTCTTGGCCCCCCAGAAGGAGGGGCTGAGTGAGGGTGCCCAAGGTGCTCTCCCTCCTGGACCTGCTGGCTCACAAGGTGCCACTGGGGCACTGCCCTCCTGTCCACCCCTTGTCCTGTCCTTCCTGGCACCAGATGGATACCCGCCAGGTGGGCCTCTCTGGCTGGGGTGGCTCGGCCAGGACAACCGGCAGGGCTCTCAGCCTCCTGCTGCTCTAGTCAGGGAGACCTGAAGGTCAGTCTGACACTGCAGTCCTGAGCAGGGAGGCCGAGTCCAGCCGGGTGGTAGCAGCTGCTGCCAACGCAGCACTGTCCTGGCATGCCCTCCTGCCGGCCCCTCTGCCTGAACTCCTCAGCTCAGAACACCTGCTCCCACCCCCGGCCCACTGGGGAAGTGCTGACAGGCAGGGGCTGGGGCAGCTAGTCACCGGGCTGCATTCCACAGTCAGCTGACCTTGCCCATGGCCTCCAAGGTCACACAGCTCACAGAGAGCGAAGGCAGAGCCCCCGCCTGGCCCTCTCCACCCCGGCAGCCAGACCCAGGCCCCTCCCTGCAGGCAAGCCCCTTCTCTCCAGGCTGCATTTCCTCATCTGCAAACTGTGCACATGACCCCGGCCCAGGGGCTGTCTGCCCCCACCACTGGGGTCCCAGCTGCACAGTGGAGAATTGGGAGGTGAGCACCGGCCCTCCACCATTAGTCTAGGGCTGCCCTGCCCCCACGGCCTCCTCCCTCAGTCTCATGATGAGCCTCGCAGCTGCTGCGGCCCTGCCTGGACAGAGTCTAGGCTCCTCAGCCTCTGGAGCCTTCACACCAGCAGCCAGGAGGTGCCAAATCCAATTTGCTCCCTGACACCTCCTCGGACATGCCAGGCTGCCTGCTGCGGCCGCAAATCTGAGAAGGTGGCAATGGCTCTGGCCTGGGGAGCATCTGCCCGGCCCCCACCTGTCACTCAGCCCAGCATCGCTGCCTCAGCGGTGTGCTTCTCAGGCACCTGGGAAGAAAATTGCTGAGAAACAGCTTCACAGAATCTCTGAAACCCTGAGGTGTGTGGTGCCGGCTTTGGGGGGGTTTCAGGCCTTGGCGGAGGCCATGGGGCTGGGGAGGGGCTGGGGCCATCTCCTCCCTTGGCCTGAGCAGGAAGCAGTGTCTGCAGACCTGGCTGGAATGCGCATGGAGGGGGCACCCTGCCCAGGGGGGGGTCACAGACTCCGCCTGCCCTGCAGGGTCTGGTGTGCGGCCCCCACCTCCAGTCCTTGGCTGAGGAGGGTGCTGGGACCCCTCAGTGCCCACCACTGTGCTGATGCAGCCTGGGGCAGCTGGGGAGGCGCTTGCCCTCCGTGGACTGTCTGCCTGGTGCCCTCTGTGCCACGGTGGGCAGAGCGTCCACTCTGCATGGACCCTCCTGTTCACAAGGGTCCTACCCCCCACTCCTGGGGGACAGGTGCAGAGAAGAGGAGCCTGGGACAGCCGCAGAGCAGGCTCTACCCTGCCAGGAACCCCCTTCACGCCTTCAACGTGGGGCTGTGTGGCAGGAGCAGAAAAGCCACAGCCAGGGCCTAGGCCAACTCCCTTTGCTTTCAGAGTGGGAAACTGAGGCCCAGGAGGGGCAAGGGCTTGTCATAAGCCTCAGGGAAGAAGGGGAAGGACCCCCACCCATCAAGGGCTCAGTGTGGGTTCCAGGCCACTCAGGCAGCCTCCTCCTCAGGGAAGCCCCTCTTTATGGGGACTGGGGCAGTGCCCTGGCTACACGCAGAACCAAGCCAGCTTCCCACCCTGCCACCACAGCAAGGCTCAGCATGCCCCTCCCCAGCTGTGAGCACAGGTTCACGTTCATGTGCAAGCTCACACAGCTGCACTTACTCCCCAGCCAGCCCCAGCCCACCTCCCGCAGTCCTGTTGGCCTCCATTCCCACCCAGACCCCACCCAGGCTTCATCTCAGGGGTCCCTGACAGACAAAGACAGGGGTGTGGCTGGCTAAGCTGCAACGGTTGATTGGAGTCTCAGCTGGGGCCAACACAGGAGCAAGTGGGGTCATCCCACAGGAGGACGGCAGGCAGCTGTGAGGCTCGCAGGCCCATCGCAGCCCGGGTGATGGCACCAGCTTGTAACGCTGCAGACTGCATCGGCTCCCAGCTCCGGGCCAGGAGGGCGCTCAGCTGGAGAGCCCAGGTTCGGGGACCCAGGCTGCAGGTGAGAAAGTGAGGCTCAGACGGGGCCTGACCAGGTAACAGGGAGAGCCCAGGGTGCCAGAGGGTGGGGTGGGAAGCACCGGGGCCTGGTCTGGAGGCTGACATGCCCACGGAGGCATGGCCCTGACAGGGGAGTGGTCACCTGCAGCTGCACGAGCCAGCCCAGACTCTCCTGGCCCTGGTCAGGTTCCACGCAGGCCTTGGTGGCCTGTCCCCACCCTCAGCGCCATGCCCTGCCCTGCACTGCATAGCCTACCCAATCCAGCCTTCCTGGCAGCATCCATGCACCCAGGCTGGGGACTCCTGCATCTAGAGCCTTCCCGCATCCACCGGCTCCCCAGGCCCAACTCAGCAGGCCCTGCCTGGCGGACGCACCAGTCCTCTCTCTCCTGGGCCCCACCCTCCACCTGACTTCAAAGCCAAATGACCCCAAGAGGACCCTAGCTCTTCCCTGGCCACTCCTTCTCCCCTCCCCCTCCCTCCCTTCCCTCCCTCCCCACCTTTCTCCAATCCTTCTTCTTCCCCTTCCCTGTCTCCCTCCCTCTCCCTCTCTTCCCTCCCTCTCCGTCTTTTTCCAATCCTTCCTCCTCCTCATCCCCCTCCCTTTCCCCTCCCCCTCCCCTCTGTCTCTCCAATCCTTCCTCTTCCCCCTCCCCCCTCCTCCTCCCTCTCCCTCTCCCTCCATGTACCTCTCCTCCTCCTTCTCTCCCCCCTCCCCTCTCCCTCTCCCCCCTCACTCCCCCTCCCCCTTCCTCTCTCTCTTCCCTCTCTCTCCTTCCTCCCTCTCTCTCTAATCCTTCCCTGCCAGGGAACTCCCTCGCAGACTCTGGGGCTGGGGAGAGCACCCCGCTTCCAGCCCCTCTTTTGGGGAGCAGACCAGTTGATCCTGTGGCCCCATCGCATGCCCCTCTAGCTGTGGGCAGAGGGCAAGGGGTGGCCGCTACTTCTCTGTACTTTTCCATGCTGACATTTTTGCAGCAAGCGTGTATCATTTTTGCACAACCAATAAATCTACTTTGAAAAGAAAAAACTGAAAACCCCTAAGAAAGCCCAATAAGGACAAAATGCCAGCTGCCAGGCCGTGGGCAGAGGCAGCTGGAGACAGGGCTGTGGGCAGCAAAGTCCCTGGGCCAGGAGCTGGGCCTTCTGGAGGAGCAGAGGGAGGAGGCATAGGGGGAGGAGTCCCTCAGGACTCAGTGGCACATTCACCTTGGCTCCCCAAAATCTAATTGCCACATAGGGAGCAGGCAGGAGAGGGGAGAGCAAGAGGGTGGGCCTCTGCTCCAGTGAGGGCCTCTTGGGTGCTGAGCCAGGTGCCCAGCAGGTAGTCCACGTGATGATCAGGAGGCTCCTGCGAGGTCTTGCTGGGCCAAGGCACCGGCTGCTGCCCGGCTCCCCGTCAGAGCCCACCCTCTCGGGAAGCCCTGGCTTTCCAGGATTCTCCTCAGAATGCCAGCCCCTGGAGACACCTGACCCGCCCCGAGCCTCTCCGTATGGAGTATGGAGAGGGGGTCCTCAGGGCCAGTGAGGCACGGCAAGGGTCTGCAGGCATCAAGGCTCAGGACCGGGCTGTCTCCGACACAGCCACAGTCCAGGGAACAGGTGATGGCACTGGGTGTGACCCACCTGGCCCTGGGAACCCGGAAGGGAGGACAGGCAGCCACTGCAGGGCTGCAGCTGGAGTCAGAGCAGACCCCACTCCCCGCCTCAGACCCCAGCCCAGCCGCATCCACACTGCAGGGTCTCCCTGGACCCCTCGCTCCAG